CAGTGTTGAAATTCGATTCGATGCGATTTCTTCGCTACGAAGATGACTTATAAAAAGGGGTTTCTAGGCTTCAGAGAGCCTTTAAATTAGTGCAGAACACTGTACCTTTAATTTAAATGCCCTTGGAGATGAGGAAAGGAGAAGGAGAAGGAGAGAAGGATGAGAAGAAGGAGAAGGATGAGAAGAAGGAGAAGAGAAGGATGAGAAGAAGGAGAAGGAGAAGGATGAGGAGAAGGAGAAGGATGGAGAAGAAGGAGAAGGATGAGAAGAAGGAGAAGGAGAAGGATGAGAAGAAGAGATAAGGATGAGAAGAAGGAGAAGGATGAGAAGAAGAAGGAGAAGGAGAAGGAGAAGAAAAGCAGAAGGAGAAGGAGAAGGATGAGAAGAAGGAAGAAGGAGAAGGATGAGAAGAAGGAGAAGGATGAGAAGAAAGGAGAAGGAGATGAGGAGAAGGAGAAGGATGAGAAGAAGGAGAAGGATGAGAAGAAGGAGAAGGATGAGAAGAAGGAGAAGGAGAAGGAAATGAGAAGAAGGAGAAGGATGAGAAGAAGGAGAAGGATGAGAAGGATGAAGGAGAAGGAGAAGATATAGAAGGAAAAAAGCAGAAGGAGAAGGATGAGAAAGAAGGAAAAGGAGAAGGATGAGAAGATGGAGAAGGAGAAGGATGAGAAGAAGGAGAAGGAGAAGGATGAGAAGAAGGAGAAGGATGAGAGAAGATGAGAAGGAAAGGATGAGAAGAAGGAAGAAGGAGAAGGATGAGAAGAAGGAGAAGGAGAAGGATGAGAAGAAGGAGAAGGAGAAGGATGAGAAGAAGGAGAAGGAGAAGGATGAGAAGAAGGAGAAGGAAGGATGAGAAGAAGGAGAAGGATGAGAAGAAGGAGAAGGAAAGGATGAGAAGAAGGAGAAGGAGAAGGATGAGAAGAAGGAGAAGGAGAAGGGAATGAGAAGAAAGGAGAAGGATGAGAAAGAAGGAGAAGGATGAGAAGAAGGATGAGAAGAAGGATGAGAAGAAGGAGAAGGATGAGAAGAAGGACCTAGTTCTGTGACCAGTTTCTGTCTATTTCTGACAGTTCTGGGACATTCACTCCATAACAGCTGTTTCAACCCGCTGTATGGAGGGAATGTCATGGAACTGTCAAGAAATTAGACTATTAATGACAGTTCTGGGACTGTCCTCCATGCAGCGGTTTGAAACATTGTATGTATTTGTTTCCATAAAAGGATCCATTTTATGGAAACAAATAGATACAATGTTTCAACCGCTGTATGGAAGGACAGTCCCTCAGAACTGTCATTAATAGTCTATTTCTGACAGTTCTATGACATTCCCTCCATACAGCGGTTGAAACAGCTGTATGGAGTGAATGTCCCAGAACTGTCGGAAAAAGTAGACTATTTAATGACAGTTCTGGGACTGTCCTTCCATACAGCGGTTGAAACATTGTATATCTATTTGTTTCCATAAATGACATTCTGCAAATACACTTAGAGGAGCGCTGCAGATACACTTTTTGCCGGCTTGGAATTAATCTTATTTTCATCCTACTCTTCTTCTTCTTCATCCTCATAAGAAGAAAAAGAAGAAGTAGGATGAAAATAAGAATAATTCCAAGCCTGGCAAAAAGTGTATCTGCAGCGCTCCTCTAAGTGTATCTGCAGAATTGTCATTTATGGAAAAAAATAGATACAATGTTTCAACCGCTGTATGGAGTGAATGTCCCAGAACTGTCATAAATAGTCTATTTCTGACAGTTCTGGGACATTCACCTCCATACAGCTGTTTCATCCTTCACCGCTGTATGGAGGGAATGTCCATAGAACTGTCAGAAAATAGACTATTATATGACAGTTCTGGGACTGTCCCTTCCATACAGCGGTTGAAACATTGTATGTATTTTTCGTTTCCATAAATGGATCCATTTATGGAAACAAATACATACAATGTTTCAACCGCTGTATGGAAGGACAGTCCCAGAACTGTCATTAATAGTCTATTTCTTTCTGACAGGTTCTTTTTCCATGACATTCCTCCATACAGCGGTTTCCCGGCAAAAAGTGTAATGTGCATAGTTCCTCTATTCTGGTCAGATACCACTTAGAGAGCTCTGCAGATACACTTAGTAGGAGCTCTGCACATACACTTTTTGCCGGCCTTGGAATTAATCTTATTTTCATCCTACTTCTTCTTCTTCTTCTTCTTCTTCTTCATCCTCATCCTCTTCTTCTTCTTCTGAGGATGAGGAATGAGGATGAAGAAGAAGAAGAAGAAGAAGTAGGATGAAAATAAGATTAATTCCAAGCCGGCAAAAAGTGTATGTGCAGAGCTCTCCTCTAAGTGTATCTGCAAAAAGAGGAACTCTGCACATACACTTTTTGCGCCGGCTTGCAATTATTCTTATTTTCATCCTACTTCTTCCTCTTCTTCATCCCTCTTCTTTCTTCTTCTGAGGAATGAAGAGATTGAGGATAAAGAAGAAGAAGAAGAGAAGAAGTAGGATGAAAATAAGATTAATTCCAAACAGGCAAAAAAGTGTATGTGCAGAGAGCTCCTCTAAGTGTATCTGCAGAATAGAAGAACTCTGCACATACTCACTTTTTGCCGCTTGGAATTATTCTTATTTTCATCCTACTTGCTTCTTCTTCTTCTTCCATCCTCATCCTCATCCTCAGAAGAAGAGGATGAGGATGAGGATGAAGAAGAAGAAGTAGGATGAAAAGAAGAATAATTCCCAAGCCGGCAAAAAGTGTATGTGCAGAGTTCCTCTATTTCTGAAAGTTCTCTCACAGCTTCTTCACATGTACAGCGGTTGAAACATCTGTATCCTAAATGGAAACTAATTAGATACAAATTAGTTTACTAATTGTATCTATTAGTTTCCATTTAGGATACAGATGTTTCAACCGCTGTACATGTGAAGAAGCTGTGAGAGAACTGTCAGAAATAGAGGAACTCTGCACATACACTTTTTGCCGGCTTGGAATTATTCTTCTTTTCATCCTACTTCTTCTTCTTCTTCTTCATCCTCATCCTCATCCTCTTCTTCTGAGGATGAAGATGAAGAAGAAGAAGAAGTAGGATGAAAAGAAGAATAATTCCAAGCCGGCAAAAAAGTGTATGTGCAGAGTTTCCTCTATTTCTGACAGTTCTCTCACAGCTTCTTCACATGAACAGTGGTTCAAACATCTGTATCCTAAATGTAAACTAATAGATACAATGTTTTCAACCGCTAAACATGTGTTCCTTCTGTCAGAGAACTGTCAGAAATAGCGGAGCTCACTGCAGGGACACTTTTGCCGGCTGATCGGGAAATGTTCGATTCGCGCACCCGAAGTAGGCAAAATTTCGGTTTTGCCAGCGAATCGAATATTTCCTGAAATTCGACTCGAATTCCGGTTCGCCTGGTTCGATTCGCTCATCTCTAATAAATTACGATGGAGACATTTTTATTTTGTTTTAAATTATTATTATAGGACTTGTCAAAATCGGTTTTGTTTTTTTTTTTCACTTAGAGGAATTTTTCAAAAGATTGGTCTTCTCAGAACCACCCACATCTCCATACACAATTCTATAAACCTCCTCTTTATCACAACCGATTCAGTCTCAGGGAGGAAAATCAGGAGATAGGAAAAAGGAGGAAAGCAGTAACCGACCATAATAGATGTATGGCGTGTGTCCTCCACCAAGTCGATCATCCTCAAGTTATGTTGTTGCAAAATCTAAAATAAATAATATTTTTGTATTGGTTGCTATTAGAGATGAGCGAAGTATTCAAAAATTCGACTGATTTGGCGAATTTGTGGAAAATATTCGATTCGAGTCGAATATATCGCTGTGAATTTAACTTAAACAAGGGTGTGTCAGGGATCTCCTTGATCCCTGCCCCGCGATGGTCCCGGCGCAGGCGCAGCGCAGTGCACCGCCCTGTGCAGGGACACGGGCACTAGGTCCGGGCCGGCCGCGGCGTTCGAGTTCGCGCATGCGCAGTAGAAGCCGCGGCCGCCCGCTGGGCACCAATGGCAGCGCAGGGCGGGATATTTAAATGGCCCTGAGCTGTCATTCAGTGCCTTCTGGTCTTCCCTGCATCCTGTGAACCTGTGATCATGTACCCCTTGTAAGTTTTGACCCGGATTGTACCTGACCTTGCTGCTTTCTCCTGCTCTGACCCTTGCTTTGCCTGACCTCTCTCCTGAATGCCCCCTATTGGATTTGACCTGCTGTTGCTGACCTGGCGTGTGACCCGACCATTCTATGCCCGCTGCCTTGTACCTTGCCGTCCTCTCTGTTACCGACCCGGCCCGTCTGACCTTGCTCATCCATCCATCCCTTGCAGTGGGGTCTTCTGACCTCCTCACATCAGACTCTTCCCCGTGGGAGCCCCTTGCGCATACTACTACCACTGACGGACGCACCCAGTAGTCACGACCTGGTCTCAGGGAGCTCCAAGTCCATGCCCACCATCAGGGGCCCTGGTGAACAAGCACCCTGGGACTTAGATTCCGTGCGCTGGGGACGCCTATTCAGTGGAGTGCTAGTAGTACCGCCGGGCGGTCCCTTACAGGGTGTTTCTAGGCTTCAGAGAGACTTAATATTAGTGCAGAACACTGTACCTTTAATTTAAATGCCCTTGGAGTCTGCTGGGGAAGAGAAATAATACTGTCAGTCAGTATGACATGCAGATGAGTGCCGTCGATCTTAGAATCACCGCACACTTCACTCATTTGGCCAGTCACGGGGCCAAAACCAGTGTTTGGAGCCACAGTGTGGCGCTGGAGGCAGCAGCAATGGGAGGCCATACAGCAACCTATGACAAAATGGAAACCAGCAGGAGTGTGAGGAGACCTCAAAGTGGCACATGGCAGAGTGGGAGCAATGGAAGGCGGTACAGGGACCCATGTCACACTGTGGACCCAGCAGCAGCGTGACGAGGCGGTACGGGGGCCCATGGCAGATTTGGGGCCTGGCAGCACCTATGGGAGGCCTGTAATCTGCCAGCAACCTATGACAAAATGGAAACCAGCAGGAGTGTGAGGAGACCTGAAAGTGGCACATGGCAGAGTGTGGCGATGGAGACAGCAGCAATGGGAGGCCGTACAGGGACCCATGAGAGACTCTGGACCTGGCACCAGCATGAGGAGGCGGTATATAGGGGCCCATGGCAGATTAGGGGCCTGGCAGCAGCAATGGGAGGCCCGCAATCTGCCAGCACCCTATGTCAAAAAATTCAACACACCAGCAGTGTGTGAGGAGTCCTGAAAGTGGCACATGGCAGAGTGTGGCGATGGAGACAGCAGCAATGGAGGCCGTACAGGGACCCATGAGAGACTCTGGACCTGGCAGCAGCATGAGGAGGCGGTATATAGGGGCCCATGGCAGATTAGGGGCCTGGCAGCAGCTATGGGAGGCCCGTAATCTGCCAGCACCCTATGACAAAAAATTGAACACACCAGCAGTGTGAGGAGACCTGAAAGTGGCACATGGCAGAGTGTGGCGATGGAGACAGCAGCAATGGGAGGCCGTACAGGGACCCATGAGAGACTCTGGACCTGGCACCAGCATGAGGAGGCGGTAATATAGGGGCCCATGGCAGATTAGGGGCCTGGCAGCAGCTATGGGAGGCCCATAATCTGCCAGCACCCTATGACAAAAAATTGAACACACCAGCAGTGTGAGGAGACCTGAAAGTGGCACATGGCAGAGTGTGGCGATGGAGACAGCAGCAATGGGAGGCCATACAGGGACCCATGAGAGACTCTGGACCTGGCAGCAGCATGAGGAGGCGGTATATAGGGGCCCATGGCAGATTAGGGGCCTGGCAGCAGCTATGGGAGGCCCGTAATCTGCCAGCACCCTATGACAAAAAATGGAACACACCAGCAGTGTGAGGAAACCTGAAAGTGGCACATGGCAGAGTGTGGCGATGGAGACAGCAGCAATGGGAGGACGTACAGGGACCCATGAGAGACTCTGGACTTGGCAGCAGCATGAGGAGGCGGTATAGGGGCCCATGGCAAATTAGGGGCCTGGCAGCAGCTATGGGAGGCCCATAATCTGCCAGCA